GATAATTAATTTGTTGGAAAAGACATTAATTACCTGATAACACATTGCTATCTTAGAAAGGGATAATTAACATCTTGGAAAAAGATAATTAATACTCTGACAAAGGATAATTCATGCCCTGAATAAGGGCAATTAATATACTGACAAACGAAAATTAATATACTCACAAACGATAATTATTGCCCTGATAAAAGGTAATTCTTATACTGGTAAAGGCTAGTTGATATCCTGATAAAGGCTAATTAATATCCTAAAAAGGACCATTTGACATCATGATAAGTCTAATGACCATAATGATAAAAGGATAATTAATATCCTCATAAAAGCTAATTGATATAATTGTGAAGTGCCCGCAGCAACTCGAAACAAAATGCCGGGTTAAAGCTGCATGAGCATCTCTCGGAACTTTTAAAGATATTTCATTCGAAAAAAGTTTCTTTCTGAAATAAAAAACACCAAATCAAGGCCCTCTCTGCAGAGAGTCAAGGGCCTAGATGCCAGTAATGGGGAAGTGTGGGGCCCTTAACCAAAAGAGGGCCTCCAAGAACCAAGAGGGGCCCCTCCTGGGGCCCAAGGGGGGCCCCAGGAGAGGCCCCAACAGGGGGGCCCCTAGGGAGGACCCAAGGGGGCCCCCAAGTGGGGTCCCAAAAGGGCCTCCTAGGGGGGCCCCTAAGAAAGCCGAACCTAGAAAGGGACTAAACAGGAGACAGTCCCCCTTTAGGCCACAGAAAAGGAGACAGTCTTTGTTGCCAAGTTTGGCCAAAAGGGGACACATTTTGAAGAGTCTTTGCAGCTGCTGATTGGGCAAAAGCGAAAAGGCTGCAGGAAGGAGGGCTAAGCCCTAAACCCTAAACCCTAAACCCCAAACCCTAAACCCTAAACCCTAAAAGGCCTACATGCGCACTATTACGCCGAGGCGAGGACCATCGCTCAAGACCGTAAACCGTAAACCCTAAACCCTAAGCCCTAAACCCTTCTTGTTTTCTGTCTGCCTCGGAGCCTGATTGTAACTACTTGAGCAGCAAACAGCAGCACACCTGCTGAAACTAGGGTAAATGCAAGTGAGAAAAGAAAAGTTGCTTTTTGTCTCATTAATTGAAGAATATTTATTCTTTTTTGGACTTGAAAAAAGGAACTTAAAGAACAAATTACATTTCTCAAGATGTTCTGAAGGTCAGCTCTAAACCCTAGAACTTGCTGCTGCATCAATAGACTTAGAGTTGGGTTATCTGTCTTTTTCTGGGTGCGCTGAAGATCCCAAACCCTAAACCCTAAACCCTAAACCCTAAACCCTGAACCCTAAACCACACACATTAGAACTGGGGAGGGAACTTCGGCTGAGTTGCTGCTGCTTGTCTTCCCTTGTTGACAACAAAAAAGCGCTTTAGCATTTAGAGTTTAGGGCTCAGATTAAAGGGTTTAGGGTTTAGGGTTTAGGGTTTTGGGGTTTAGGGTCAGACAGCATGAAGAGCCTTTGGAGGTGACTCCGTCACACGCCTCTAGGGTTTAGGGTTTAGGGTTTGCTGCTGTTATGGCCAAATTAAGTTAGAGTGTGAGGCTCAAATTGACTGAAAAATGTTTTATTTTCATTTTTTGAGACGAAGATTTAAAAATTAGGGTTTAGAGTTTAGGGTTCAGGTTTTAGGGTTTGTTGGGGCTTTGGAACTGCGGTATTGAAGAGCGGATAGAGCAAAACCCTAAACCCTAAACCCTAGAAAATAGTGATTTCCTGGAGCATCTAAAGTCTTAGCCTCAAAACCCAGCCTGCTACGTCTAACTTTACTAAACCCTAAACCGTAAACCCTAAACCCTAAACTTGTGCGACCAGTGGACGGATCGCCGGAAGTCACCGCTCCATGCCCCGGAGAGATCAAAACTAGGGTTTAGGGTTTAGGGTTTATGGTTTGAGGTTTAGGCTATGGAAGACGAGGACGAAGGATCGGAGCAATAGGGGGGCCTGAATCCTCTACGGAAACCCTAAACCCTAGACCCTAAACCCTAAACCCTAAACCCTGAACCGCCGATTTTTAGTGCATTGGTGTTCTCCATAAGCGGAGATGGCTGAATTCAGCGCTGCGCTGCAGCAAAGAGCAGTAGCAGCAGCAACAGCAGCAGCTGCAGCAGCAGAAACAACAGCAGCAGCACCAGCTGCTTCCCCTGTCGGTCGCCTAGAGCAACAGCTGAGCGAGCCACAGCCCCAGTCGCAGCAGCAGCAGCTGCTGCAGCAGCAGCAGCTGCAGCAGCAGGAGCAGCAGCAGCAAGAAAAGCAACAGCAGCTGCAGGAGGAAGCTTCCAAGGACGCAGCAAGAGTTCTCCCTTCCTCCCCACTCCCAGAAGCCGTAGCAGCAGCAGCAGCGGCAGCAGCATCCCCAGCAGCACCAGAACCCTCTGCAGCAGCAGCACCCGCAGCAGCAGCAGCACCCGCTGCAGCAGCACCCGCAGCAGCAGCAGCACCCACAGCTGCAGCTGCACCAGCGCCCGCAGCAGCAGCAGCGCCCGCAGCAGCAGCAGCAGCGCCCGCAGCAGCAGCAGCAGCGGGGAGCAGCGTGGGTCGTTTGGTTGTGTTTTTTGTGTTTGCGAATTTGCTGCTGTACGGAGACAGGGGAGTTATTGCTGGGGCCTCAGCAGAAGTGGGGGCCCTAGCAGCAAAAGCATTAAAGACCAGCAGCCCGGCCATTTATGTTGGTTTGCTGCAGTCCCTTTTTGTGTTGTCTCTGTCTGTTGCTGCTCCTGCGTCTCCGTTGCTGCTGCGGCTCGCGGGGCCCTTCAAGTTGCTGCTGGGGGGCCTTGCTCTCTGGGTCGCCGCTGCTGCTGCTGCTGCTGCTGCTGCTGCAGCAGGCGCCTACCTGCCCCTGGCAGCAGCGCGAGCAGCAGCAGGAGCAGCACAGGCTGTCTTCCTGTCTTTGGGCTTTCCCCTTGTTGCTGAAGCAGCACCGGAGGAGACGCGGGGGCGGCTGCTTGCTGCTTATCTTGCTGCTGCTCCTGTGGGGTTTGCTGCTGGTGCAGCAGCAGCAGCAGCAGCAGCAAACGCCGCAGGCTGGTACTTCGCCTACCTCATCCTCGCCCTCGGCGGCGTCGCCCTCTTCCCCCTTTGCCTTTTGCTGCACCGCCAGCAGCAGCAGCAGCAGCAGCTGCAGCTCGCAGCAGCAGCAGCAGCAGCAGCAGCAGCAGACAGCCTCCAAGCCGCCATCCTGGCTGCAGAGACCCAGCTGCAGCAGCAGCAGCAGCATACAGCTGACGACCTGGGCCGCCGAACGAGCAGCAGCAGCACCACCGCCACTAGCGCGCCGCAGCACAGCAGCAGCAGCAGCAGCGGGGGGCGAGGCTGCGGCAGGCAGCTGCTGCTGCTGCTGTCGTGTCCCCCGTTTTTGCTGCTGTGCTGCTCCTGCGGAGTTTATGCTGCAGTGCTGCAGGGGGCAGGAACTTTTCTTCCTTTTATTTCTTTAAGTTTATCTCTTTTTGCTTCCGAGCTGCAAGCAGCAGCAGCAATCAGCAGCACAGTCGCTTTCGCCGGCTTCTGCGGTGCCCCAAACCCTAAACCCTAAACCCTAAACCCTAAACCCTCAGCCGCGGCCAACGACCCGCGCAACCACCCGCCCTGGGCGTCCAACCCGCAGAAACACGCACGCATGGCCAAACCCTAAACCCTCAACCCTAAACCCTAAACCCTAAACACTAAAGCCTAAACCGTAAACCCTAAACCCTTTTTGTTCTGCTGTGCGGCAGGCACATTGCTCGGCGGATGGTTTGCGGAGAGTTTAGACAAGCGAGCTGCTGCTGCTGCTGCTGCTACTGCTGCTGCTGGCTTGCTTGGCGAGCCAAGTAGGCTGCGGGAGCCAGCCGCAGCAGCAGCAGCAGCAGCACCTACAGCAACAGCAGCAACAGCAGCAACAGCAGCAGAAGGCTCGGTTTGCGTTTCTGAAGAGCTTCGAAGGAATCTGCAAAGTCCTAATGCAACTTCACCTTGTTATCAATCAACAGCAGACACAGACGTGGAGCAGCAGCAACAGCAGCAACAGCAGCAACAGCAGCAGCAGCAACAACAGCAGCGGGGGGCAGCAGCAGTCACCGATGACAGAACAGCAGCAACTGCAGAAGCAGAAGCAGCGGCAGCTAAAAATGCTGCTGCTGAAGGCGACTGCAGCGCAGTTTGCTGCAGTGCAGACGCTGCAGCAGCAGCAGCAGCAGCAGCAGATCCAAGCTCCGAGCTGCAGCAAAGGGAGTCTGCGGAATGTGAAGAGGAGTGCCGCAGGTCTGTGCTGTTGCTGCTGCTGCTGCTGTTAGTGCTGTAGCTGAATACTGTTACTCACAACGTTGCTGCTGCTGCTGCTGCTGCTGCTGTTGCTGCTGCTGCTGCTGCTGCAGGTTGCTTCGCCTCCGTGAGTTGTGCGGAGGCGCCGCCTATACAACAGCAGCAGCTGTGCTGTTCCTGACTACTGCGTGTTACATGGCACGTAAACCCTAAACCCTAAACCCTAAACCCTAAACCCTCTGTGTTGGCTCTGCAGCAGTTAAACCTAGGGTTTAGGGTTTGTGTTCTCTGCGGCGCAGGAGGTTTGCCTCTGGTACTTGCTGCTCCAAACTGTCGGCTTTTTGGTGCTGCAGGCCTCCCAAGTAAACCCTAAACCCTAAACCCTAATCCCTAAACCCTAAACCCTAAGTTGTGGGCCCGGGGTCTCCTGGAGGGTCCAGGACAGGCTGGCGACGAGCGTTTGCCACCTTCTGTGGAACCTAGGGTTTAGGGTTTGGGCCTAGGGTTTCGAGTTGGGGAGTAGGGTTTAGGGTTTAGGGTTTAGGGTTTGGGGCTACTGCAGGTCAGCTTGTCCCTCGCCGTCATAAACTCTGTCCCTTACGAAAACCGCTTTCTCGCTAATGCCGTTTGCCTCTGCTACATGCACGCCTTCGGGTAAACCCTAAACCCTAAACCCTAAACCCTAAACCCTTGCTGCGGACCCCAAACTGTGCTTTTCTGCCGCCAGACTGCTCCGAGGCCCTCCAGCGCCCCACTTGTGAAGACTTGGAGTTAGGGTCTGGGGTTTAGGATTTAGACTTGAAACTAGGGTTTAGGGTTTGGACTTGAAACTAGGGTTTAGGGTTTGGACTTGGAGCTAGGGTTTAGGGTTTGGACTTGCGGCAACGGTTTAGGGTTTAGGGTTTACTGCTTGTGGCTTGCAGGGATGTGCCCTCTCCATTCTTTTACGGATGGCTAAAAGACTTCTTCGCGCCAGCGTGCGCCCAGCTGGGGCCCGGCGTAAACCCTAAACCCTAAACCCTAAACCCTAGGCCCTGATCCGTGGCTCCTACGTGTCGTTAGACAACACTGAAAACGCAGGGCTTAAAGCACTTGAAGTTTTGCTTCGCGGCTGAAAGTTCCCGTCACTCTTAAAACCCGTTCCTGCTGCTGCTGCTGCTGCTGCTGCTTCTGCTGCTGCTGCTGCTGCTGCTGCTGCTGCAGGGCGAGGTGACTCCGGCCTGTATGGAGCAAAGCGCCGGCTTGCGTTTGACGCTCCTCTGTATGTACACCCCAGTGGCTCTCATGTCGCTCTCGGTGTTTGCTGCCAGAGCCAAGGGGGCCATTTTGCTGCAGCAGCAGCAGCAGCTGCTGCAGCAGCAAGAGCAGCAGCAGCAGCAGCAACTGGTGCTGCTGCAGCTGCCCGGGGGTGAAGCGGACGCAGCGCAATCCCCGCAGCAGCGCCTCTTCGGGGCCGCGTAATCTGCTGCTGCTGCTTCTGCTGCTGCTGCTGCTGCTGCTGTCGCTGCAGCAGCAGCAAGAGAGCGGAGAGCCTTACGGCCCCTGCTGGAGTCCAACCCACATCTTAAACCCTAAACCCTAAACCCTAAAAAGCGGCGTGGAAAGTCGTTGAGCCTCCAGTGACGACTTGCTCTCAGGCGCCTTCTCCTAGGGTCTAGGGTTTAGTAGGGTTTAGGGTTTAGGGTTTAGTCGTCCTTGCGGCTGCAGGGACAAATGTATCCTTTCTTTGCCAACTCTTCTCTCGCCCTCTTCAGATCCTGCAGCATTCAAACCCCCACCAAACCCTAAACCCTAAACCCTAAACCCT